GTGAAAAAAATAGAATTACTACAGCGAATCAAAGAAGGTTTGCTTTTTAGTCTACATGGTCTCAAAAGCTACTACCAGGTATTTCAGGAAAAGGGTAGAAAGCCTTTATAGCACGACCTGCCTATACGTAGGATTTCCTCTTGGCTCCTATCCGTTAGAGGTTAGCCTAAGCACTCTGAAGCAAGCTGGTTTATATCCCTTTTAAATATAACAGGGGGTGTTATTCTTAAGTATTTAGTGCGTGTGTGTGTGGGGAGGATAGGGGAGGTGCCAGGTAAGTGGGGGCTGCCAGGGAGCTGTGGGGGAGGTGTTGGTGAACAGGGAGCCACTACAGAGCCTTAGAGCTGAGCAGCCATTGGGCAGACTTGGCAGCTCCTAGCCACATCCCTGCTCACCAGACCTCTAGCAGCAAATCAGAGCTTTGCACATTAGAGATGGCATTAACTTTTTAATGTGCAACTGCTCACAGCATGTTCTAACTTTAATACTGTCTAACATTTCATAGAATTGCAAATTGTAACATGTATCAGCACCATGATTGTTTTCCTTCCCTAAGAATAATTCACCGTGGCCATGTGCAAAATACAGTCACTCCTATATATGGGTCACAATTTTATCACTGTTCCAAATCAGCCATGCTTAAATCCTTAGGCAGGATATATGACCTAAATCCTTAAGGATTTTTATAGTGAATAATTATACATTTAAATAAAAAGGAGCTGTATCATATTACCTTTCGTGTAATCATCCAACAACAAGCAATGTGAATTTTATCCCAGTTTTCTCAGAAGAATATGCTGGCGGTGTCTCAAAAATATTTAACTGCCAATGCATTTTTTTATGAATAAAAATAGTTAATTCTCTGAAGCAACCCTATATAAATAGTATAACTACAGTGATTTTTTTTTTAAAAAGTGACTTTACCCTTCTTTGGACTGTTCCTTCCAGTTTCTCCATTTCTCCCAGAATAGCTGAAAGGAAAGATGATTTTCCAGATCCAACTTGTCCAACAACAGCAACTAAAGCACCTTCTGGGATCCTCACATTCAGACTAGAAATGTTTAGACAGATAGACACCATTCATCCCCTCTGTCAACACTGTGCTGTTTACAGAGTAGTATCCCCCTGTAGCAGATGCTCAGAAGGACAAAATACTCAATCTACCCCTACAGTGACTGAGGAAACAAACATTTCTGTTTGGGCATCTCTGACTCTAAAAGGTTCTGTACTCCTCAGAACCCTGAAACAATGGCTTTGCAAAAATAGCTGCATGTGGTTGCATGTTTAAAAAGTTTTAATGTTTCATTTGGTCACAATATATTGTGGGCACCTTGAATAGGACAACCCCTAATTACTGTCTTGTAGAGTATCAGCCTTATTACCCACCTTCTTAACGATTGATGTGCCTTCAAGCATTTTTTGCAATAAAGTTCTACATTTCACAAAAATCTATTTTACAGCTTCTTCATATTGACCCATCTACTGTACTTAGTACATCTGCTTTTACAATATTAAGATAGTGATCCAACTTATGCTCTGTTTCCAAAAGGATTAAATTCTATTAGATTACTGAATCACAGACATAACAACTTTCTCAGCCGTGTTTTTGTAGGAATGCAGTTTCAAAATCTCTTGCATTTTTGCATTAAAAGACTACTGTATTGTCAATGAATTGACACATGCAAAATTGAGCTTTTTGTAGAGAAATTATGCTTCTGTGATGCATTTAGGACTTAGTGTTTGGTTGAATGTAAAGCAGTAGTAGGAAGATGAGATGGAAATGAGATCACTTTAATGAGATGGGGATGAGTATCTGGATATGCTGTTTCATTTCTGTTTTGTTTCTGTACTACATTTCATTATGATGGTGTATTATACACCATTACTAGTTCCTCAACGTAGCTGGTTGCTAATGCAGTGCCAATATTGATACCAAATTTGCCCATATTCTCTGAAACTCCCACTGTCTTAGTTTTTCCAGGTCACTCTGCAGCATGGTTATATTTCTTTGTGTACTAACTTTGTCCTTGTGTATCATCTTTTAATTTAAGCATTTCTTAATTTGCATCACACACTAGACCTGAAAAATCTAAGACATGGCCATTCAGGAAACAGAAATTCTTGGGAATCTGTTGTTCTTGCAGTAATATTGACAAAAGGAAAAATTGTTTCCAAGGTGGAGACCCCAGTGACAGCAAAGTTAAATTAAGGAAGCTGTACTTAAAAACAATAAGAGATCATGTATGCTTCCGGGAGGGCATATAGGAGACATCTTGTATTCCTATGTACTTGTGTGGCCACCTATAACATGAATAGCAATGCAGAAAGTGAAACTGCCTCTGTAAAATTCATATACCCTCCCCTCCTGCAAGTTGATATGATGGGCAAGGGGACTAAATATCAGCCTCACTCTCTTTAAAGATGTAGGCTTATAGTAGTACCTGCATGTCAGGAAACATATGCTACTCTGGGTTAATTCCTTTTCTGGAGTAGTGGTGACATGAGGCATAAGACTGTGGTCTGGGGAGTTGCAATCATCTACTTGGGACATTCTGAGACCAAAAAAAATTCTGCCCCTTAGACTAGGCAGACCATATGTCATCATTTACCCAAATGCTATGGAAATGCAGTGTAGCAGAATGTGAAGCTTATACAGATGTTGTTCAAAGTACTTATTAAAAATGGTATTTTTTTTCTTACTTATTTAAAATTTGTGCACTGTTCTCATCCCAGCGGAAAGAAGCATCAATAAATCCTACAGCATGATCTGTTGCAGTGAAGAGAAAGAAACAATGACTCAGAGGCAGCTGCCTAGTTGTTATTTCTAAATAATTAGTGTACAAGATGTAAATGAAAAATATATGTGCCAGCTTACTTGCACTGTAGTTTGTGTCAATATTTTGAGGATCGAGGTCTTCAGAATTTAGGAAGTCCTCTAAACGACCCAGAGAAATTTTTGTCTGTAACAAGTACAAATATTTACATTATTTCAGATTCTTAAACAATACTTCAAATACCTAGACTACATTGAGAGAAGCATGCCATGCACGGGTTTGTTTTTTTTAAATGGCCACTGCTTCATCCAGGGTTAAATTATCTGGAGTAGTTTTTCTCCATTTGTATACTTTCCACCTTGTGAATGCGTAACTGTTAGAACATAAAGCTACTGCATGACAGGGAGCAGCCCCTCCACCCACTTTAGAAATCACTCCAAATGTGCATTTGTCCATGCTTTAACATGTATGGAAAAAATAGATTGAGCACATGTAGAAATAGCAACAGTATTTTTGACAACTGTTAGTCATTTCTCATAATACACTAACATACTTCAAAAGATATCGGAGAACTTCTATCCCTGAAGTTCTACCATCAAAGCCATGAAAATACTCCATTATTCACCCAACTAATATAATAACATAAGACTCAAAAAAAAAACTGGGCTGCTTAGCCATCCATTAAATGTAGATGAAACCACATGATGATAAATGAGAGAGGACCGTATTACCCTTTACAACACCCATACATATTTTGTTTTTTTTTACCTGGGCTACAGCAGAGATCACAGCTGGCAAATCAAACAGTGGCAGCCGTAAAATATTAAACAAAGAGATGGATGTGAAAACTTTAGCTGCAGTTAAAACATTCTCTTCATCCAGGAGAAAATATATTCCAAATGTAGCTAAAGAGACCTTTAAAAAAACAGAGGGATTTTTGTTTTTCCATTTGTACTTTTCAACAATTTCTTAAAGGATAAAAGCATGAAATTAACGGAAGTTAAATATAAACTAACATACCAAATGCCATCATCAACAAATTAAAATAATACAGCTGTGGTATATAGAATAAATATAAGCTCTTGTATCATAATTAAAATATTCCATTCCTTAATTAAATATATGCATAGAAATACTCCCACAGAATTTCACGTCCAGAGTATGTCAAGGCCCAATTCTCTCCTTTTATAAATGTGGATTTGTATACTTTCCTTACCCACAGAACTCCATGTATGCCTATCTTCCAGAGTTCATGTGCACTATCGTTTTAACTAGCAGCACACATGATCACTGAGCTCAAAAAGAGAAGGAGTTTAAGTTACTGCTGGGTAGGAAATTGTTTTCCCATGCTTGGATAATTTTCCAGAATTAAGTTTATTTTACCATCCTGAATCGGCACAATGAGCTGAATCTCACCAGATTTTACATGGGTGCGCTGCACTTCATGTAAACTAACCTAGATGTATCATACAGAATTGGTGCATTTTACAGGCTTATGTTTTTATTAAAGTTGATAAAAAGAACTGTATGTACTTTTTTGCTTTTGGCTATCAAAAAACAGGACACATTCATTTTTATTTAACATCCCCCTCCATCTAATTTCTAAACTGAAATCTTGAAAATGGGTTTTTTAATATAGTTATACTGTATAATCCTGAATAGCCTATCTAAATGACTAACATGGTTTGAAGGATCTGGACCTCAATCCTCCCTCTCAACATACAGGGATAAACCTATTAGATTAGGTATAGACTAAGTCCTCAGTTAACTGTTTTACACTAGATGAGGCTCTGACCCATAATTTCTCTCGTGTAAAGAAGTGATTCAAAATGAAAGTTTAAATGAATTCCTGATACAGTTCCACTGCTTAAGCTGTCTAGATGACATGCAGTTTCAGTTTCTTAATTTGCAGAACCTTATAGATAGAGGCATTGTTCATTTAAAAAAAAAAAAAAAAGTTTGGCTCTTTCAAATTTCTTAAAAGCAGGATGGCATACTGGCCAGTGGCCACACAGGGAAGTGCTTTTTTTACAACAGTTTTCCTATGTAACAAAATCTTACAATTTTCTTTTATTCTCTAGGAATGACATGTTACTAAAATTATATTAATGTATTATGCAGCTACAGTTTCACCACTGAAACTATTAACATTCAGTACTTGTACAGATTTATATATCATGCCACAGCTATGAGTTAAGGGAAGAAAATATGTATAGAACCACATACTTTACATTCAGCTGTTCTCCATGCTGCAAGGGAGCAGCGTGGGGGTGGGGGGCTTGACCCCAGGAGATCCAGGAATCCAAAAAAACCTGCGTTTTTTTTTTTTTTTTTTAAAACAAAAAGCAGAGCAGCGCATGCAGAGGCAGCATGTGTCACTCAAAACTGGAGTCTGGATAGCCAGAACTATACTCCAGCCGCCAGCCAGACTCTGAGTGGCAGGATCGCCGTTGCTGGAGCCCCAGGACCTCAGGCGAGGCTGCTGGGGCCAGCACTGGGCTGGCCTCAGCGGCCTGCCGTACCCAACCAAGGGTAACCTGTCACACACAAGAGGGCATGTGGCACAATCATTCCTTGGGGACAACTAGCGATGGCACAAAATGTCCTGTTGGTAGCTGTCCCCAGGGAACCAAATGTCCATGCTCGTGTGGATGTGGCCAAAGTAGCTAAATTCTTTTCCTAGGGCTGCACAGCAAATGAGTAACAAATCAGGGATAAAACTCCTGAATTTCCAGCTTTCCTTCATGAACTCAGTTTTCTGGCACATCCACCACACTCTCTGGGTTAGGTCAGGGGAACAGGTACACAGGAAAAAAATTAAAGTATTGACTTAAGTTGTGTTTATATTTCTCTGCTATAGCAATTGCCTTGGTATGGATCAATAAGCCGGAACAGAAAAATACCTGTTTCACTTCTGAATCTAACTATGCTACTTAGGAAGCAAGAAAGCTGGCAAAATAGATAGCAAATTTTGTGAATAAAGTGAAAAGCTTTGTTTGAGTCACAAGATATTAAAGAAATGCACAAAAAACATTCTGCCTCACTCCATGAAGATGATGATCTTCTGTCCATCTCAAGTACATTTCCTAGCACAACTAGTCTTACATTGTCTATAGTCAATTTATATTTAAGATATCTTTTTCCCCCACTAACCAAATTACTGCTTACAGACAGAAGCATAACAGGACAGTTTGGTATCCTGGGCAGTGGGAGCACAAGGGGTGGCAGTGGCTCTTGGCTACTGGCAGTAGTAGCACAGCTGGCCAAGAAAGGATGTTATTTTTCTGCCCCTGCTTTCCTCCCCCCGCCAAGCTGGCACCTGCGACTGCTGTCTCAGTTGCTCCCCCTAACTTCTGTTAGTGCTTACATAAGAACTTGAGCCTATACCAGCCTCTACTCTGACACCATAATCTTATATTTTTTAATCTTATATTTTTAAAAACTGATCACTGAAATAAAAGCTTCACTTAAATGTTTAGTTGGTATAAAGGTAAGAATCACTTTAAGAAGAATGTGCAATTCTCTGCATGAGAGAATAAGGGTCCTCTGATTATGGCACTTCACTGAAACTCAGGAAATCTGGATTTTACTCTTGGCTTGCTGTATGAATTTGGATAATCCACATCTCCATGGCTCAATTCCCCTCTGTAAAATATTTTTATTATAGTATTTCATGATCTCACAGAGGGTTTGTGATTATAAATTCATCAACAGTTGTGAGGCTTTTAGATACTACAGTGACAGGGAATATATAAGTAATCAACATTATACAAATGTATACAGTCAAGAAACGTACCAGAAAAGGAATGCATGTCAAAGTTAGCATAGAGAAAGTTGCCAAGTATCCAGATGACTTCAAAACATTTATTTCGTGTTCTCGAATTTCCATAACCTTCTTCTGATAGAATGTCTCCCATGCATAAAGTTTGAGAATCTAAACAGAAATCAAACTGAAAATTACCTTGTAATAAATCAGGAGAAATTATCATAACTTTTGGAACAAACTCATTTTTAGTTGTCTGTAGAGGTTTTAATATTATAAAACTGTAAACATCCAATATCCATTTTCCCAGTGGATAGTTTTAAAAATGAAATATTGTCCTAGTAAGACTCAACATAACTCAAAACTGAAATTCAGTTAGTCTATAAGGTACAGCTCTAACCTGTCTTCTGTCAAAATGAAATTACTGCTGTTCAGAATAGCATGTGGTAGCGCCTTTTAGCTCTATACATCTCACTATGTCCATCTTCCGTTAAAATAATTATTATTCCTAGGTACTCTTATCGCCATTTATCTTTCTATGTGTTTTAGTTAGCTAAAATTTATCTAGGCAGGTGTCAAAATCAGACTTCTCTGCAAATGTCCTCTATCACTGGCTGATAAAGAAAATATCAGTTCGGTAGTCCAAGCTCATATTTCACTTTCCTGGAGAACCTGGTATAAGAATGAATATCTTCAGCTAGGAAATCAATCAAATGCTTACCTAATTAAGGACAGCATGTAAAGTGTGCTCAAAAGAGTTTGGCTGACAACTTAAAACAACCCTATTGCTGTTATACATAACATGAACAAAGAGGCTGTGTCCACATGAGCATGGACATTTGTTTCCCCAGGGACAAGAAGCAGCGGCAGACCTTGTACCTTGTGCTGCTGCTACTTGTTCTTGGGGAACTCCCATGCCATGTGCCCTGGCACGCAGCAGGTTACTGTGGTTGGGGTAGGAGAGGCTTGGGCTAGCGACTGTGCTGGCCCCAGCAGCCTTACCTGAGGTCCTGGGGACCAGGAAACCTGCAGCCATGGGACTCCTGCAGCTGGGAGCCTGGCCAGCAACCAGTGTGACTCCAGCTGGCCAGGTGCCGATTTTGGGCAGTGCGCACTGCCACCATGTGTGCTGCCTGCTTTTTTCCTGCACCGGTTTTTTGACCCTTGGCTCTCCTGGGATCAAACCTTCCCTCCCCAACAACACTGCAAGGCAGCAGCATGGAGAATGCCTAAATGTGCAGCCTTTTTCGTATGTATAGTTTCTATTAAGTGCATGTCTTCAGTCTGAAGAATTCTAGGATTTTTTTCATAGGAAAGATATTCTGTAACGGTGTAACCTGACATTATTATTAATAGTACATGAGATGAATAAAGGAAGAGAGGCCTTGGGCCTTCTACTGACAAATAAATAACAGTACATTATAACATGTTTGTACTGAAAATATTGTTGCTCTTACTTAAAACCAAATAACATCTCAGCTAACAGAACTTCCTCTCTGTGTAATAATAATTTACTGCTAAGAATTTATATGTCCTAAGCCATATTAGCAATACTGATTACATCTAGAAATTCAAAAACTTGAGGGGAATACACCATAAACTATGAATTACTTGAATGTGGGTGTATTTTAGATCTGAAGTATAAATGACAAATTGTGATGCTCAGGAAAAAAAATATTTGGAAAGCTTGTTTCCTTTTTTCACTAAAACTTAACTTTTGACAGAAATTTGCAGGCATCTAAAGACAGTCTATTCTGATGAAATACTAAAGCAAATTATAAGAAAATTTCATTGTTAATCTGTATTTCAGAATCACATTTCTAACTAACCTTAATATAGCTTTAAAAAAATCACTTTGAACACTTTACATAAAAGAACTTCTTTCTCCTATTTATTGTCTCTCATGTCATCTGAAAGGTCAGTGGCAAGATCCTAGTTTTATGAATTATGTACTGTGTCATCGTTACAAACTAGTGTAAGTACCGTGAAACTAATTAGCTTCTTGCTTTACCTTTATTCCATGTAATATTTCATTTAGCAGCTTAACCCGTTGGTCTGCAGTCTTCATTTGGCTTTTCTGGTTAAAAGACAGAAATGTTTACTTTTTAAAATAAGAATAAAATAATCAAATTACCTTGCGTACTGCCTACTGCATTATCATCACTTTTTTGGATAATATTTAATTTGTTAAACATACTTTACCTTATCAGTCTGGTATATGGTTTTATGCTGTCACATAATTCACAAAATGGTAAAAGAATTAGTAAATCTATTCCAATGCCACTTTACCTATAATAAATCCTGAGATTTTAAAAAATTCTTCTTGCGGCATGGTGATGACAGAAACCAGTTCATTCCTTGAGTTCTAATTAGAAACTTCTTAATTAGATTTTTAATTCCCAGAGTGTTCTGTTCTGGAATAATCATATCAATTTAAATCTACATAGACTTTGAGTATCTAAAGTTGGACACACAAAAATCTAATCTTTTTAAGTATAACATTTCAGCACGGTCACATACATGGTATACAATAGCAATTATTTGCAAATTCATCTGACCCAAATAGTTAAAGAATATAATCTTGTTCACTTACTATATACAAGCTGTTGTTCCATTAAATGATTACATTTGACTAAAGTAAACAGAATTTCACCCAGTCTGATTTGTGAGATACAAGCTAGTACTAGTTAAGCTGAAATGTGTTGGGTTTTTTTTGGGGGGTGGGGAGGGAGGGAGTGGGGAATTCTTCTGTTACTGGTAACACCTCTGATTTTTCTACTCACGGTTAATTTCTGCATGTCATTCAAACAATGAAGGCAATTTCAAAACATACTAGTCAGTGTAGCCTATGATTTTGTTTGTTTCCCAGTAATGATACCTAGGTAGAATATTACAATGGTTAGGTTGCAAAATTGGCCTAGATCACCAGGCCTCATCCTCTGCTTACACAGAGCTCCTATAGATGTGCATGGAGACTGCTCTGACATGCTAGAAATCCGGCGCATGGGAGCAGACTCAATTAATTGAGTCTGCTGGAGAACAGAAACTGACATGCTCCGGCAGCCTTCTGGGTCACGTGTATCAGTGTTCCCACACATCTCGGCACTGAAAAAGTGGCCGCAGGATGCTTTGAAATAAAACATGTTCAATAAGCTTTAGTTCAAAGTGCCCTACCACCATTTTTTCAGTGCAGGGATGTGTAGGGACGCTGATACACGTGATGCACAGGCACTTTTAATGAGCACAGCTTGCTAATTAAAGCACCGGGTGCCATGTCCCAGAACACATGTAAAATTGCTCATAACTGCAAAGATCTGTGATCTGAGGAAGCTGTCTAAGAATCTCTCCCCCACTACCACTGGTTGAGAGTGCAGGTTGTCAGCTTCTATAACATGATGTTTCCACACTGATGATATTGCCTAGACCTCACAAAGGCCTCTACCAGGTCTTTTGCTGTACTATGCAGAGACACCTGAGACGAGGTATGGTACAGAATAAAAAAAGCTCCTGCTTTGGTTCACCTAAGCTTTCCTGGTGAAGGTAAAGTAGTTTAGAGATGTATTATTTTTCCCATGCTCATCCTAGCTACATTGTAAATGGAGATGAAGTATCGCAGAGCCAGAAGGGACCTTGGAGGTGTTAGGATGTTTGTAGGGGCGCAACACTGATGATTTCTCTGGCCTCGCTTAGATCTGCTAGAGATTATAGTGACCTTTGTAGGCTTTTCTGAGTGTTGGTGGGGATGCTCTAGAATCTGGCTTCAAAGGGAAGTGTGAATGAGAGTTTAAGAATGTGAGGTCCAGTCACAGAAGCTTCAAAGTTTTGTCTCTCTAGAACGCCCTTCTGTTTGCAGGATCAGGACCTACCAACACTTACATAGATAAAAAATACTATTTACATTTTATTATAAATATAGTTTGATCTAAATAATGGACAAGAACTGTATTTTTACACCCCCCTCCACCCAAAGCAGCCTTTGATTAGGGTTTTTGTGCAAGATTAAGTATATACATTAATTTTATAAACATAATTAAAAATTAACTCCTCAATATAGCACTTGAAAATTTTCCAGCGTTTGCGTTTCTTACCTTCAGATGTTTTACTTTGGCAGCGACAAAAGCATTTATAGGTATAACCAAAACAAGCACTGCAACGCCTGCTAATACTGATGGGCCCAGTTCTTGCCAGAGAAAGATAATAGCCATCAGGATCTGAAATGGTGCTGACCAGAGAAGGTTGAGGTTTACAGCCATTTCCATTAGTTGCTGGGCATCTGAGGACATCAAGTTAACAATTTCACCACTTGTGTATTTTCTCCGAGCAGAGTTAGCTAAGGTTAAGGCCTGAAAGCAATATAACAAGGTCCCAAAAGGTCAAGGTCACAAAAAGTAGTATCTATCTTGAACATGTGCTTTTTTTTTTTTATTGTATTGCTTTACATGTTTCACACAGACTTATCATTAAGCATCCACGGGAAACTTAGGAGGGTGGCTTTCTTATAACAGCAGAGGAAAACTGCACTCAGTGAACGAGACTCCAAAGTCTAGTCTGCCCCTTGTGTACCAAGTAATGAAACCAGAGGGGTGTAAAGAAATACTAAAAGCCTTAGTTAGATCTGGCCAAGGGAGAATTTCTTCAGGGCTGAAAGACTGCCATAGGCTCTCTTAGGGAGACAGCAGAGAATATCAACAAAGATATTCAAGGTCACTTTCAGTCTCTTTAGAGAGGTTGTCCCTTGAACAAATAAAGTAGATAAATTAAGACCTTGAACCCTTCACTGCATACACAGTAAACTTATGCTACACTAAACAACAACCTGTAAATAATCCGTCTCACTCACTGCACACAAAATTGAAAAAGTAGTAAACAGATATCAGTTTTGCTTCATTTACTACATATTAGCAGGGCTGCTACAGTAATACTTTGCAGGCCAAGTTTTTCTCTACTGCAAAGTTCCTACACATTTCTTTTTTAACCCCTAAATCCCCTCGTACTCATTGGCTCCACCTTATGTTTTATGACAGGGGTTTTCAACCTTTTTTAGTCCAAGTACCCCTGGAGGCCTGACACTGAGCGTAGGGATGGCGGGTGGGTGGGGACGGAGTGCTGCTCCCTCCCAGGAGCAGGGCCAGGGCACGGTGGGGAAGCTCACTGGACTGGTGTGTGGCAGCGGCAGCCTCTGCATGCGAGCTTCCCTGCCCTGCAGAGGGGCACCGCTGCCCTCCCCCCACCCCGGCCCTGCTCCTGGGAGGTGACAGCACTCCATCCCTGCCCACCCACACATACCCCCTAGTAAGTACCCCCATGGGTACACATACCACCAGTTGACAACCCGTTTTATCGCAATCGGTTATTAGCTATACATACATTTTCAGTGCAGCTGGCATGCTTCAGCTAAAATGTCAGGGGAAGGTTCTTTTAAAAAATAGTAGCTGGACTGTTGTCTTTAGTGTTATTTTTAGGTAGTCACTACTCTGCCAAATTAAACTTCATGTTCACTGGAACACTGAAGACCTCACCTTTCCACCCTAGAGGGGAGATATTCTGGTCAAATTTCAGATTCCTATTCACACCACTTCAGTGCTATCACAACTCAAAGAAGGGATACATACATGTACTTTTTTATAATGGGAAAAGTAAAGAAAAACTTACTTTATTCTCAAAAAGGACTGAACCACTCTTTTTTCTTATGAAATGTGAACAAAATAATTAATCATATATATACTTTTAGGAAGAGACTCAGCCTAAAGACCTAAAACCTAAGCCTTATTCAGATTAAGTACGGAACATCAATAGAGAAAAAACAATTGAAAAAAAGGCTGCATTAGCCCATGAACCTTCAACCTATTCATGACTAACCCATACCTTTAGGCTAGGGACATGTATTCAAAAAGCCTGAGGCTGAACTGATTCAATCTTTGCAGGTTAGTCTAACCCGGGTAGGCTGAATCAATTTATAACTTCACAGACATCCCAGAAATGCAGGCATATGCCTGCAGTGTCCCAGGCTAGAAGCTGAGGAGAGTTAGAACAGCCCTCCTTTGCAGGTCAGTTTAAACTGGCTAGGCTAAATCAGTTTGTAACTACAAAGACATCTTCTTTGGACTGAAAAAATGCAGGCACCTGCCTGCAGTTGCTCAGGCTAAAAGCGCAGGGATGCTAGAGCAGCTCTCCCTTCACTTCCACTGTGCTGAGCTGAGGGGGATGTAGCCAGGCTCCGACAGCATGCTCTGATTATGGAGTGGTGTCCACACCCCCTCCAGCCCTGACCAGCCCAGCAGCAAAGTGATTACACAGTGTTTATCACACCATTAAGAAAACAACAGAGGGCCATTACCAGCTACCTGTTGATTCTGCCTTTGTTCTGTCTGCTACAGAATGGACCATAGCCCTCATGCAGTCTGCTAGCTAATGCTGAAAGGTATCTGTGTGCAGCAAAGTAGACAGCGGAATCCCTGCATAGCAGTGAGTGGAGAGGGGCGCAGGGAGCGGGCAGCACGGAGAAGCCTGGCAGATGCCTGCAGTCTCTACTGGAGCCCCAGCCAGGAAGCAGAGGGGAGAGACCAGACCTGCTGTGGAGCAGAGAGTCCCATCCAGCCCAGAGAGTATGCCAGGACGCTGGGGGAGTCTGCTTGAATTTAAACCAGCAAGGGGTCTCAGACAGACATTACATAAACCGGTTTGAGCCAAATCAACTAAGTCTGATACTACATTCAACCAGGTTTATCTCAAACCAGTTTCAGCGATTTTTTCAAACTGGTTTCTGTGCACTGAAAATCTGTTCTGTTACAGGTTTAAACCAGTTTCTGATCAGTTAAACCCATTTATGTGTAATGTCTCTCCCTAGCCTCACAGATCCCTGCTAGTTTCAATGGGACTCTGTGCAGGTGGGGACCTCTTGTCTAGTGATCTAAATGTGAGACTAGAGTGCTAGCATGGAAACAATAAAAGTTTAGTTATGGCTCTAGTTAGTTCTTCAGTATTAATTCAGGGTATTCTACTGATATTTTCACTGGCTTACAATACCTTGGTTTCTGTGGCACTTTCAGCTTGAAAATATAGGTAAGATTTATTTTTTGGTGGGATAGTGGGAAATGAGGCAGTTACCTTTCTGTATATCAGGCCAACAACTGCAGTCTTAATTTTGACAGAGGTAAGCATGTTGAAGCGCTGGTATAGCTGATGGATGAGAGTCTGCAAGATGACGACAACAAGAAGAGCAAGAGCGTATCTATATCCATTCCAGTGTAAATCAGAGTGGCTTTTGTACAAATTAATCATTTCTCTGGAAATCAAAGGATATACCTTTTTAAAATCTTTCAATTAGCAACAGCAAAAAAAGTCTTAGAAAATCTTGTTTTGAACTTACATTATTACATCTATATTCCACAAGTGGCAATAAGTATAGATGGTGTAAGGCAATGTAGAATCAAGTATTCAACAGTAAAAAAACCCTGCATTCATCTGAGTGCTACTTTGCTGACCTTGTAACAATTACTATTATGTACAGCTTCAGAGTTATACACACTACTGCTGACTTCACTGGTAACAGAGTGCAGAGGGTATAGATAAGGCATAGATAATTCCTAAAGATAAGGCATGTCTACAAGAGATGTTGACTGCGCAATAGCCAGAAAATACTGCACAGTGGTGCATCACAGTGCAGATGATGCTAATACACTGCTGCACAGTATTATTAGGCTACTGTGCAGTAACATTACCTAAAAGACATTCATTAGCACTACTGCACAGGAACTCCAGTTACTGCATGTTTATTTAGTATTTGCTAATACAAGTACTAAATAAATGCACAGTAACAAGTGCACAGTAACATTTCATGTAGATGCACCCACAGAGAATAAAATACATCTAGTATTTGCTAAAGAGAAAAGGGTGGAAAAATCAGAAATTTAAGTTTTACTTTTAGTGTAGTAGAGATTATTCCTAACAACTGAGTATAATAAAAATGAAGAACAGTTTATGGTTTATTTCTAATATTTCCTTGCCACAAGCTGGTGATATAAGTCTTAGCAAAGTTTGTTTTTATGTTGTCATGCTAGGCTCCTGAACCATTTTGCTACAGCAGGATTATATCAGCAGGTCTAAAGGTTAAAGTTAATCACTTGTGCTCATTAACACTTTTCTGTGATAATCTGCCAGGTGTAAAACAAGTATTAAATACCTTCCTAGTAACCACTATAAACTTACTTAGGGTACCAATCAACTAGTGGCAACATAGGCATTTCAGCCTTCTGTTAAACACAAAATTGTAATTATTACAACTTCGCTGTATTTTCCATTTAAGCATTCTGCTACAGAACTTGAACAAGAAAAAAAAATTAAAACTAAAACTGCAATAAACCACAAAAGTAACTGCTTAATGAGCACCTTTGAGTTCATTTTTTTTAGTGACTAATTCAGATTCTAAATATTAAAAAACATAACCATATATTGTACAGACAGATAGCCCTTTAGTCTGAAGTCAGGCAGAAGGCACGGAAAGGTAGCACTTTATAGAATAATTCTGTATCATGATATTCTTCCACTCTCAGACCTGGCTTGCAGTCCTTAGTGTTATCACTTTTGCTTTTCTCACCAACTCTGATTTAAGTTCCTTCCAAGAGCAATGATAGCAGTAACCTGTTAACAAAAAGGCTTCTTTTAGCCAAGCATTATTTACTGTAACTAAAGTATTTTAAAGGATATATCTTAAACCAATATACTAAACTGCACTTGCCTCTCTGGGTGCATCTACACATGAAATGAATGTGCAGTAAGGTTACTGTGCAGTAAAATAAGGAGCAGTAGGCTGTGGCCAGGAGCACATCTACACATGTGCCTTGTTAGGTGAAGATTTGCCTGGTCCAGGGCTGCTCCTGCCCAGCTCTGCCCCACTGCAGCAGCCAGGGGAAGGTCCAGGCTCTCCCAGGTGCCAGCCTGACGGCTAACAGAGGGCACAGGGGCTACTCCTGATCTGCATGGGGCTGGGAGAGCTGTGTCAGTCACGGGGACAGCTGTCTCCCAGCCCCATGCACACTGGGGTCCTGATGTGCATGGGGCTGGGAAACTGCTCCACCTGCAGCTGGCACAGCTCCCCCCGTATTGGGGATTAGTCAGGCAACAGCGGCCTGCTGCTACCTGGGTTGACCAGGAGCAAAACTGTGGTCAGCATCTAAACATGCACTACGGTGCATTACTTAATGCACTGTTTATCTAGTATCTGTATGTGTTGGTACTAGCAAACAGCATATTAAGACTAATTTAATGCACAGTAAGTCCAGTGCACATGTAGACAGGGACCCTTTATTGTCCATTAGATTAGTCTAGCGTGTAGTAAACTGTCTTGTGTAGAGGCATCTTCTAACACCTACTATTGTCTGGATCTGGGGAAAAACTCTTTCACCTGTTGAGTCAATTGGCTTGCCTCTCTCATGGGCAGTACTGGATAACTCTGCCTATCTTAACACACTCTTCTTCTGAAAGGGCTTTTAACTTTTTGTGCTCTGATCTCCATGCCCCTAGATTTGGCAAAATAAGGTTTCAGCTAATTGAAAACAGGGTTGCAGGGCCCTTCAGGTTTAGAACTCACCCCAACTTCCATGTGTTTCCAGCATATTTTCATCCCATTGACCCTGACCATTATAGGCATATAATAAACATATACCTATCAGGGATGGTCAACCAGTAGCATGGGTGCCACAACTGGCATAGGCAGCACTTGTGTATGGCATGCAGCAGACTGAGGAGGGGACATACAGTACAGTGGCAGATAGGACAGGGAGTAGACGGCAAAACATCAGATCAAACAGGGAGCATAGGGCAGGAAGCAGAAAGCAGAGCAGCAGCTTGTGTAAAGGAAAGGTTTACAGTGACACAGGAAAGGTTTACAGTGGGGAGTGTATGGGGCTAATCTGTGACACACCTTTAAAAGGTTTGGCCTCCCACTACTCAAAACACAGTCAATACAATCCTACAAAAATGTTACTAAGTTACCTGAGTTAAACAGTAACTTTACCTAACTAACTAGTTCATATAAAGTGTTCAATAAATTATTTCATTCAGTAGCCTTAGATCAACACATCATCATACCTATTATGGTATGATTTTGATTTAAGGTATTTTTCAACTGACATTTACTGTGTCAGACTCATGATTGGGTACATATCTGAATTAGAGAACTTTAGATAAGACAAAAATAATATATTAGGGAGCAACTTAGTTGATCATGTAAAGAAGTAAAGTATTCTTCTAAGTAATTTCTCAAGTTTTTTCTTCTTCTCTGATTTAAGTCACACACATACTGTTTATAAAACATACAACAGCAATCTATCTCAGATTGAAAATTATCAAATTATCTTTCTCTTGAAACATGACACTCTAACCCAGTGCTTCCCAAACTTTTTTGCTCAGTGTGACTCCATTTATGACCCCATTTCCTCAGCATGGCTCCCTGCTCCCAACCCGCAGCCCCCAGCCCCTGCTGGTGCCCCTCACTCCCCACCCACAACCCCCTGCCCCCTAGGTGCTCCAGGGCCAGGGCCCATAGCCCCCCTGCCCCACCCCAGCAGAGCCTGAGCCCTAGCTGCACCTATGGGAAGCAGCAGCTGCTGCAGCTGGAGTGGAGTGCAGAGCCCAGCTTCCCCCCAGCCCCATCCCTTCCTCGGTGGCCAGCATTGCCGGAGCAGACCCCACACAGGAGGAAGGATGGGGGCTGCCTGCTGCAGGCTTGGGGTTCCCCATGCTGCTGCCCTCCCCCTGGGGGCTCTATAACATGGATGCAACTCCATGCTGCTGCAGCTGCCATGCCTCACCTTGGCATCCATGGTGGTGCAGTCCTCCCTCCCACAATGGGTCCCACCTGCTGGGCCACAGAGGCAGCTCCTGCCCAGAGCTGGTCTGGCCCGGCTGCAGCCCCACACTCCTCTGTGGGCACAGAAATCTCAGGGGGCATGTTTACTGTGACCCTATCCACGGGTGTTTTGACCCTATTTGGGGTTGCAACCAACAGTTTGGTAACCACAGCTCTAAGATACCATATACAGTAATATATAGAACTCTATTTCTAAAATGTATCTTGATGACTGAAACGTCTTTCAGCATTTTTCCCTCCTATAATCGCATGTACTCTATTTTAAAAAGTTTCAGTTTTTTGATAATAGGCTAATCCTTTGTATTTTCCATTTGAATGCCTTATTCAGAAAACAAATTTTATTTTTTGGAGTCTTCCACTTTTTGCCCCAAATCTATGGTTTCACTTTAGTAAAAATATTTAAGTCCTTATGCTTATGAAGAGAAACTTTTCTCTACCTGTAGGGTAGGAGTCCAAATTTTTCAACAATATGTTCTTACTTTATAGTAGAATTTTTGAACATCTGATACATAATCTCTCCCTGATACAGCCAGACTTACATTTTTCAATATTTTATGATGTTTCTTTAATGTAATTAAAGCATTTGATGTGCTGAAAGATCTACAGCAACATCCAGTGTAATACAAAATTTGTAACACTCTAACAGTAAGGAGAGAAATGTATGCGTATAGTCATGAAGACTGATGTCTTATAAACAATTTTGCAATTTTAGTCCTGTAATCAACTCTATCAGGATTTTGCATTTATGCAAGAAAGAGCAGAGCTTCCTAACCTGTGTTACTGTTAGAAAGCTACTTAAATCCTAGAAAAAAAATATTTATGAAAATAAGCATGAGAACAATTAAAAATTCAGACTAATGCTGTTAAGCTATGAGTACCGTTATTTTTATTTCATGTGAGAAGTCTAACCAACAGAGTTTGGGCAGAAGTCTCCCCTTCAGGGCCTTGCTTTTCTTAATAACTTAGCATCACATATCTCTAAATGGAGCTATAACAAAAGAAGTATTTTTTGCTGATCACATCAGTCACAAAGACTACGTTAATGTGTCAGCAACTTAAGCTCCTTGAAACCATCTTATTTTATTTCTCAAAAAGATTATAAAATGCATGACATACAGGTATTTTCAAACTACTGAGATCTTAGCCTCTACAATACCTAATCATTGAAAAGCTGTCTTAGCAAAACTTTGGAATCCAGAGAACCTTTTGCATTATTATTATTGCTCTGCAGACAACCAAAACCAAATATACTTAAAAGCACTTACTTCATTATTTGTGGACTCACAAATGCTAGAATATCAGCTGCCACTTTTAGAAAGCCAACTTTAATTAATAAATATCTAAATGTTTGCCATAATGGATAAAGCAAACATGGTTTATGCAAGCTTGTTTTAGATGGCGCTTCTTTGTTGCAAGGAGCCTATGGAATTACAAAAAAAAAATTAAGCAGAAAATTAAATCTTAGCTTCCCACACAAAAGAAAAACATAAAATAAGGAGATAATCAGCCTAAAACAGTAGGTACACTTAGGGCATTCTAGTTTACAATGGGGCGGTAAAAATATTTTTGTGCAATTTAACAACTGAGGGGACATGTGTACACAATGCATTTACTGCAGAGTAGACTAATTAGCTCTGCAGTGAACATCTTGCATCTACACATGTGGCCCTATTAGGCCACAGGAAACTAACTCTGGAGCAGGGTATTACTTGTAATACAAATACTGTCCTACTGCAGAGCTATTTACTGCACAGCAACACACGTGTAGATGCTGACCCAGGCATAAAGTGCTTCTGATCAGCCCAGCCAACAGGGTGCCACACTCCTCCCTTCTGCCTACCCACATGGCTCAGCAGCTACAGAAGCTTCGTGACCCAGATAGCTCCTCCGCCATCCAATGCAGCTACCCACTGCTCAGGTCTGACCCCCTGTGCCCTCTGCCATCCCGGGCTAGCCCCAGACCACAGGCCACACTGCTACTACCAACCAGAGCCCATGGGTGGCACCCAAGCAGCTGCAGCCAGAGTTTACTGAAGCACAAACTGTTCCTCAATTTATTCAGTCACATTAATTCCACGTGTAGATATACCCTGAGTGGAGGAATGGGATTTTAGACTACTCCAGTCACCTTTCAATTTCATAAAAAGACAAATTATTATATTATATTACTATATTCTAGGCATTCACAGGAAATAAATCTTTCTAAACTGATTGAGGTGTTCCACAAAAATGTGTGGTGATATCATTGAAGAAGCTTACAAAATAGAATGAGAAGTGATGTACTTCTCTTTTACAGAAGGAGTCACAACCCCTATCTTTATGACTACCATAAGTATTTCTATTCTAATGGAATATTTTTAGTGGACTTGGCTTTCTAAACCTTACCTTTTACTAGAGAATAAACTTTGAAAGTTTTGGTCTGAAAAGTTAAGTATTCTTGAAAAATCCAAGCACAAAAACCCCCCCAGCAGTTCTTAACCAGTGCACTCATCAATAGGCTGCAAAATAAACATTAAATAACAGACTCCAACCTCAATAAATATACAGGTATAGTAAGATCTACTAGATGGAAATTAAAGCCAGAGATATTCAGAATAGATATAGGGCACAAGTGAGGGGAATTAACCACTGAAATAACTTACCTAACTTTGTGCTGGATTCTCTGTCACTGAAAAGAACCATTTAAATCAAGACTGAATTTGTTTTCAAAATGATCTCTAGTCCAAAAAGGAATTAATCTAAGTATTCCTATGCCCACACCTTGATCAAGTAGCCTTATAATTTATGAATCTATAGTTTGTTGTGCAGATATTTCGACTTAAAATACTCAACTAAGTTTACTAATGATTTTTTTTATGCCAACGATGAAGCTGAGAAAAGGATAACAGTTAGGGATAACAATTTGTTGCCATCCATATTACCTTCAGTCCTTTTGTTGTTCTTAAGACTTCCTTCCTCCACTGCTTTTCAAAATTGGGACATACAGTGTATGGTGAGTCACTTTCATTCAGTTCAAACAGGTCTTCTCTCTCCAGTGGTTTCTTATACCCTAAAGTAATCACTCTAAAAGAAAAGAATAACAAGTGTAACATTAAATAAATAAAGCAGTAAAACAAACAGGGATCCTGAAAAACTTAATATAGATGCTTGGTATTTATAAATAAAGGCTACGTTAACAATAATAAACAGGGTATGTATATCACCCTAATATGAAACATTCAGTATAAGCACTGAAGACATTTCCCTACATTTGTATCTTAACTTAAATGTTGGGCTATCCCATTACTTCTACTTGTTAGGCACAGATAAAAAACAGGAAACATAAATGATAACCATATATGGTTATTATTGATGACCAAAATGACCATATATATTTGTGTCACTTTGGTAACATAGATTAACTGTCCAAAATATCAAAAAAAAAAAAAAAAAGTTACTAGTTTTTGAGAAGCATGAGCATATACAGAGCAAATTCATCCTGTGCTAACCCCTGGTAAGTCCATTAGAAAAAGTCTGCAAGATGACAACTAAGTCAGTCAATACCAAAGATGTGGGGCAGAAAATTTTCCAGTGCTTTATTTTCCTTGAGAAATGTTCCATTTCTAACAATTCATTGTTTCCTAAAATTCATTAGTAACAATGAATGGATGCCAATGCCATAGTAGGTAAGCTTGGCAGTTTCAAAATTGTAATTAATGTTTTTCAGGTGATTATCCCTATGAAGTATGTGAGAGAGTACATATATGTTTTATAGATTTGCAAACAGGAGGGTAAATAATAATCCAAACCAAAAATCAAGTTATGAATTCACCTAATTGGCTGTGCAGGTCAAATCAAAAACACATGAATGCACCACTAAGCTTGCTTCTATTTCTTAAAATATCTTGCTTCTGGAGAATCAGTCAGAAGCACAATTAGTGAAGAATATGCAGTGTGATGATAAGTTGTCCTTGTCCATAGACTTACTGGTAAACCTTACCAAAGATTGGCGAAATCTTTAGTGAAAGAGAATGCATTTCAAGTAGTTCTGAATCGGATTTCCCTCAATCTGATTCCGAAATGAAACTAATAAGTAGTGCAAGTGATACTATAGATAGTGACAGTGAAACTGGAGGTGTCACAATGCCCTGTGGAAGAAAGTTAAACTCTGTTGAAGTAGATGAGCAGACAACCACATCATATCATGCACAGTTCTTTGGGTGTGCTAAAATTAGTGTCAACACTTTTCAGTGCCTTCAGTTTTTTTCTTAAATTTTAAACAGACAATGTAAGGGAAGTACATGCTATTGTGTATTGTCTTTATACTTTTACAACTATTCCAATAAAAATAATTTCTTTCCACATAAAGCTTTGAATTTGTTTGAATATAATATTTAAACCACATTAAATGTGCTGTATTTTTTTTCCTAATCAAATATTTCAGATCAAATACTTGTGGCTATTAGGACATAAAATTAACATGGGGTACTTTTGTAGTTTTGCTTACTAAATATACATCAAATAAACATGCTAAATGAGATCACGCTCTATTTAGGGCATCGGATTCAAAAATATCAATTCAAAATTTTCTAGAAAACCCACATCTCTGGTCAATGCTGAGAGTTCCAAAAGTCAGGGAATTTAAAGCAAGCAAAGAGACAAAAAAAACCCCCAACCACCTGATCTCCAGATCTACTGCAGTCTTATGGCTGGATTAAGGAACATACCTGGATATACAAATAGCTTATTGCTTAGAACCCTTGGTCATAGAGTCCAGTTACAAGATCAGATTCTCAGTTCTCATTCTAAAAAGTTTCTAGCCTGCAGATAAGTGGGGAAAAGCCCCCTTCCTATGTGACCCAAGTGTAACTGTTTTGTGTCTGAACAGAGATATATAATTAGCCATGTTAGTCTGAAGTCAAGTAGAAGGCAAGGTAGATTTGCACCTTACAGACTAACCAAAGTGTACATAGCACAAGCTTTCACGAGCTGAAGCTTACTTCATCAGATACAGTGAAAGGATGTACATAAAGCAAAGTATAAGGAAAGAGAAATTGGAATACAAAAGATGAGGAGGGGGAGATGTGGTGGGGGGAAGGGAGATGGTGGTGGGAGAAGCTAGCAAACAAGCTGTAAACACATTGGAACAAGGAGTCACAAAAATTAATCCAGATAATTGGACAGTCTCTGCTTTAAACCATTCATAACACAATCCAGTCTGTGGATGATTTCGTATTCTGCAATTTTCCATTAATTGGTTTTTTAAAAATTTGCTGTCTGAGGACTGCTACCCTCTTGAATGTCTGACACTATACACCCAGCAACGTAAACTTCCCCATTCATCTCAACTCTAAAATGTGTTGATGTGCCAAAGCATAACTAGTCCATTGGAGATCTCCAATCTTCTTAAACCCCCTTACCTTGTCAGATTACCTTAATTAAGATCTGCATGTCATAGAAACATAATTAAATGTTATGGATTAATTATGTCGTTGTTATTTTCCAATTCCCTAGTTCAGACTGCAACAGCCTAAAGATTAACCTGCATCTAACGTAACAATTATGCTACTTAATAATGAACATATTAAAGTAAAATTTCTAGGAATAATAATGCTTAGGCTTTAGTATTGTAATATGGGTTGTACAAAGTTGTGAAGCAGACATTTCACAAAAATCCAAAGAAGCATAAAGAAGGGAATATGGTCATGTGCTACAGGTAGTCTGTTTCCTAATATTACAAGTTTTTGCAGATACAGGCAGAAAAATAAAAAACTTTAAATAAAAATTGGTCCTTTTGGCAAGAAACCTAGGGTAAACTTAATATGTAGAAAGCAGTAACAAATGTCTGACCAAAGTGATGTAGTCTAAATTTTATGCAACTCTTGCAAAAACTACAATGTTACCTTTGAAATGTTCCAATATTAAAAACCACAGGTAAAACCCTGGCTGCACTGAAGTTAACACTAAAATTCTAATTAAGAGAGTCAGGTTATTACAATAAACTTTGAATATTTTATACAAGAAGAATCAGATACAAAAAGAATCAAACTCCAACTTTATGAAAAATCTGGCAATAGTACTACTGAATGAAGCAAAATGTAGGTAATGTTCATAATCTGATATTAATTCATATCTTTAAACCATTTTCATTCTTAAAACTAAACAGTTCAGTAATACGCCATTGCTTTTAGAAACAATCACATGATAAAAAGAGAAGTGGAAATAATGAGTAATTGTCAGGAGTTAGACCATGAGAATTACATGGATTACCCTGCTGAATGCTAAAGGAAAGAGGAATGCACAATTTCATATACCTGAGTTTTTCAATTCATATGAGGATATACTATATCTAAGCAGAGTTTTGCCAGTTTTTAATCCCTTCTTAATATAACCTAAGACTTATTGACAACTAGGGAGAAAACCAAATATTCAAGGATAATATACATAAAATTAGCCAACTTTTTAAATGGTATTATTCAGCTAAGTCCTTGTAGCCTAAATCGGGGATTGGCAATGTTTTTGGGCAGCGTGCCAAAAACACCTGCAACCTCGACTTGTAAGATGTTTGCATGCCAGGAGTGGATGGCAGGGAAGCTGCAAGGGGCCCAATCCTTGTTGTAGCAGTGCAGCCCTGGCCTCTTCCCTGAGGCACAAGTACCAAGCAAAGTGTCTTTGCTTGCCATGCTCTGGCATTCATGCCGGGTACCCCTGGCCTAAATCAAATATTAACTTTTGAAAGTCTACTGCCATATCTAACCTTAAAGAACATATAAGTATATTCTCTAATGAAAGAATTGTGTGCATGGTTTCAGCTCAAGTTAAGATTACAAAATATTAAATTTCATTTATTAAATGTATTATCAGTAGGATATGACATACAGGATAAGAATTCTAGGACTAATACTATGAAATATATATTTTTTTAAGTTTAGCACATATAAACTCTGGCTTTAAAGACTATTCTAACAATGATCTCAGATTCTGGATTATTACAGTACGAGACTGAAGAGAGGTGCCTGTGCCCAAAAGCTTGCAAAGAACAATTTTTTCCAACTAGTCGGTTAGTCTAATAAAAGATATCACATTTACTCAAATAACCCTGTCAAACTAAATAAAGGGCAGCTTATAATCTATAATGAAGAGAGCATAAATAGTAAAAAATAATTAGATTCTTACCTGCTGTACCAAGAATATGTTACCTTACTAAAGAAGGAAGCATTTGCTTCAGGACTAAATTTCTGTAAAAAAACAAAAATTCAACAACAACAAATACGTGTTAAAGACTGAGGAAGAAGGATATGTAATTTACATTTTTCTTTAATGACTATATGTTTAGGATATCTACTTTCCTGTAATCAATGGTAATAGGAGGTAAATGCATACAGTAAAGTGAAATAAACACCATGTAAGGTACAAAAAGATGCAAGTAAAAGTAATTTTTCTTTGTCTTCAGTATTCCAATGACACAATTTATATAATCTACAGGAGACAGAAAATCCCAGGCCTTAAAACTAGAACTTGTTTGACACAAAGTGCCTCGCCTACACACAAAACATGGAACAACAGAGATTTTCAGCTCTTTGATTTAATGGACACAGCTCACCTCCTGTAATTATACACCTCTACGGTAGCATAGGTATACGGTATAAAATGCCATCTTTTAACACCTATCCAACATTATTTTATGCTCACTTTGTGTTGGTACAAATAACTACATCACGAGTGAATCAGAAGCAACATAAAACCCCCCTGCCTTGCAACATTAAAACTAAAAATGTCTTGCTTTCTTTTTGACAAACCTAATTCTTGGAGAAAAATCAATTGTTCATGCCTGAGGGTGAATAAACTGTTTCTATACCTCAAAACCAGCAGAGGTAAGGTAATGTTCAAAAAGGTGTAAGCAGAAGAGGAGGCTTGTTTGGCATTTTCAGTTTCTTATACCTTGCATCCCTAAAAACAAACTTGAACTGTAACCCAGTTTGGGGACATTGTATTCTGGATCCACACCCAAGAGGCTAGGATGGCTTCTAGGCACTAAGTACATTTAAGTAATACACTCTATTCTTCAGGTTTCCAAAGCAACTTAAAAATGCTGATGAATTTACCTGCAAAATTGTCCTCAGCCCAAGAATATGTTCTCTCTCTTCAATAGCCATTTAGACTGCTTTTCA